TATGTGGTTGGAAAATAGGGGAACAATAATGGCTTACCATGGAAATAGTATTGGTTCACATGCAACTTTTTCTCAGTGTGGCTTTCCGTTCTTTTTTTCTTTTAATTTTAAATGAACACCTGCCCTTGGGGCTCCTGCCCCAGAGACACACATGCCAGGTTCCTTGCACCTCCCAGGTTCCACTTCCCCCCATCATACTCACCTTCACAGCAGTCTCACTGGCTCACAGCACCTTAAGTCAGAGTTTCGACTCAATTGTTTCTGCACATTTTAAATTTTCCCCAAAGCAGCTTCCGGGCCTACTGGGCTGCCTGCTTTGGCTGTCCAATTTACCTCCCAAGGTACCGATTACTGCGTCTCTTAGAGACCAATTACAAAGTCACATAGACTTTGAACAGTCTGCTCTTAACCCTATTTTTTCCCATAAGCCCTGTTACCTTCATTGTGTGATTTTGTAGAATGTGAGGTTTTTCAGGAACACAACATGTCTTAACAGAAATGCCTCATTTCTTTCAAGTGCCGCAGAGAGCGGCCGCAGCTGAAGCAAAGACATGTGAAGGAACTGAGCAAGGCCATCCTTGGGTAGTATGGATGTGTTTGCAGACTCCCAGGCTGCAAGGCTGGTCCCTCTCCTGAAAGGCAGAGCTCTACAGCTACTGAAATTACCTTCTCCCGGCCCAGAGCACTGAAGTGTGATGCTTGGGTCCTGACCCCATGCAGTGCAGCAGAAACAACCACTTTTCTTTTTGGTTCTGCCTTGGGGAGAGACTCTATTGCAGCATGAATTAGCTAAATATATTTCTGAACAAAGCCTTTCTCTTTACTTTCTTTGAAATTTGGTCACGAAACTGCACTTTGATTCTCCCTATTTCTCTCAGATTTAAATACTTCCTACCTCCCCAGAATTCCTGCGAGAACTTGTTCCTGTCTTTACTGAAGCCCTCACCACATTATGTCTTATTACAGTGGTGTGTTATGTGTGTCTGTGTGTGCATATGTATGTTTGTGTATGTTTGATTTGTGTGTGTGTGTGTGTGTGTGTGTGTGTGTGTGTTTTACCTCAGTTACACTATAAGTTCCTTGAGGGCAGGCACTTTGTTTACGTCATCTCTATACTTTCTCCATATTGCCCAGAACAATGTCTTTCACATAGTAAGTACTTAATAAATGTTTATTAAGTGAGCAAATCCTCCAAAGGCATTGACTTTCATCTGGGCTCTTTTGTCAGGAGGGTCTAACAAATGCGCACTGTGAATTCCAGTGCAGTGGTTAGAAGACATAGATTTGCATTAAAAATTTCCTGGAGAGTAGTTATTGGAAATTATTCTGGGGAAGTAAAAACCACAAAGCAATGTAAGAACACCTTATGTGAAATATTTTATTCATCTTTTTAAAAAATTAATAAGCAGCAGAGAAGAATTATTTCATCTGGCTGCTCTGATAGTTCCTGCTTCTCTTTCCAAGGCTCTGGAGGTTGAGTGGTTTCCCAAGGGAATACCGGCTCAGAACAAACCTCAAGGTGATTTCTGCTTAAATAGGGAACTTGCTGCCACACGGCAGGGTTCTGCTTCCACAGCGAGCGAAGCATGTGGGCCTTTGGGTAAGGAAGATGGGCTCAGCTGCTTTGACTGAAACCTAAAACCTCCATTGTCCCCTTCCTGCTGGTGAGTATCCAGGTGTCTGTTCAGTGTCTCTGCTGTCCAAACCCCCTCCTTAGAGAGGGTAGGTCTGCAGCAGGGAGATCTGTGATGGTTCAGTGTGACTGGAGTGCAGGACCCCAGGGGCAGTGTGGGGAGAGGCAAGGCTGGAGAGAGAGGGCAAGACCCCCTTTGGAAGGCCATGCTGGCTACACCAAAAAGTGGATTTTTATCATGAGGGAAATAGAAAGGCACTTGAAGTTTTAAGCAGAGGACTATTATGATTAGTTTTGTAATCATTCTTACCAATAGCTCAGTAGCTAACCAACGGGTAACAGGTGGTCCTCACAACCATTTCCATCAGCACCACCAAGAAAATATATACTTCATTAGAAACATGTGCTTGTTATATAACCATAGCAGAAAAACAAGAATAATGGCTAACATTATTAAAGCTTCCTATGCGCCAGACACCGTTCTAGGTGATCTTTTAAAATGTCTTTAACTCAGTCTTTCTTCACAAGAAGGAATGGAAATTTGAGGTCACACAATTAGTAAGTAGTGGTGCTGGGACTTGAACCTATTCAGGCTGGATCCAGAAGTCATGCTTGTGATTACAGTATTATACTGCCTCAGTGATCACCCTTGGCCTCGCTTTCAACTAGGTTATCTCCCCTAAGCCACACTCATACAGAAATTCTGAGGTCACCGCTGATTCTGGCAGTGTGAAGAATGGGTTGGAGGGCTTCCCTGGTGGCGCAGCGGTTGAGAGTCTGCCTGCCGATGCAGGGGACGCGGGTCCGTGCCCCGGTCTGGGAAGATCCCACATGCCGCGGAGCGGCTGGGCCCGTGAGCCGTGGCCGCTGAGCCTGCGCGTCCGGCAACGGGAGGGGCCACGACAGTGAGTCTGGCAGGCGGACTCCCAACCACTGCGCCACCAGGGAGGCCCCATGCTTTTTTTGATATATCAAACTACTATGATATTTTCATTATCACCAGTTGGGTTATTCTCCAGATTTAAGTCCTAGCTTTTGATAATAAGCTTGCAGCAAAAAGCCACAAGTAAATTTTTTATAGTAAAAAGTAACATATGAATAGCCCTGTATGGAATATGCAACAATCATTGTCAGTTTTGTTCTTAAAACAACTCATTTGTATTGGTTTGCTAGGGCTGCTGTAACAAAGTACCACAAACTGGGTAACAACAGAAAAAAATATCGTCTCACTATTTTGGAAACTAGCAGTCCAGGTGTCAGCAAGGTTAGTTCCTTCTGAGGGCCGTGAGGGAGAATCTGTTCCAGGCCTCTCCCCTAGCTTCTAGTAGTTTGCTGGCAATCGTTGGCGTTCCTTGGCTTATAGATCTCTGCTTTCATCTTCACATGGTGCTTTCCCTGCGAGCACAAATTTCCCCTTTTTAAAAGGGCACCAGTCATGTTGAATTAGGGTGCCACCCTACTCCAGTATGACTTCATCTTAACTAATCACATCTACAATGACTATTTCCAAATAAAGTCACATTCTGAAGTTCTGGGGCTTAGGACTTCAAAATACAAATTTGGAGGGGGACACACATCAACCTGTAACACTTACAGAAGGTAGAGCAGGAATTACTCTTATTCCCATTCTAAGGATAAACGGAGTCTCAGAGAGATGAAGTAATTCACCCAAGGTGAGTGAGTTCCTGGGTCACAAAAGCAAGTCTGCTGTCAGCTCAGTAGTCAAAGAGAGCCAGATAGTATAATACCTCTTGCTATGAGTTTGTCCACCTGTTCTCACACACTTGGACCAGTAAGATCTGAGGCCACACCTGGGTGTGTAAAGAGAGGGGAAGTGGTCCGATGTGGCCTCTTCTTGGAATCAACTGCAGATACCCTATTATTAAAGGCTTCATTTTGCTTATTCAATTGCTGCCCCTATGGCTGTACCTCATGAGTACATGAGGTTTATCCTCATGAGTTTATCCTCCAGGGTAACTGTTTACTCAAATTGTTTCTTGTAAGTCTGTTGTTTCTCTCTGGAGGGCCCATCCCTGAGCTGAGGAGAGCTGGGTACAATGAGCCTATTCAGGGCAGCAAGTAAAATGCCCCGTGCTTCCCTTTTCTCTGTATAGCATCATTCTTTGCCTCTCTGTGCCTTTCTTTTGTCATACCTATTATGTAACATCAGTGTGGGTGTGGGGAGGGTATGAGTTGCCAGCAATGAACGTGTGGCCGAGGACACCTGCCTGATGACTTATGCACCACAGCAGGCAGCACTGGGCAAGCTTCCCAGGAACTGTTTTGCCCCCATGCCAGCTCTGACCTGCACCTTCTGTTCTGCCTGAGTCACTCTCACCAGCTAAAGCCGGTATCCCCTCACGGGCCCCTCTGGGCAGAGAGGAGGGACAGACCACTTGTGAGCCCTCACCCCTGGGAGGCAGTGTAGGATGTAGGCAGGTGCAGATTCTGGAGACAGATGCTAATCCCAGCCCTACCACTTACCAACCGTGTGAATGTACGGAAGATGCTTGACCTCCCTGTGTCATTCCTCATCTGTAAAATGGACATAATACATTTGTTTACCTCATAAGATTATCACATGGATAAATGACATAATCCGTAAATGGTGCCTAAAACAACATGTCTGCTATGTAATTCTAGCACTCAGTAAATGTAAGCAATACTTCCTTATTTGTTTATTTCCCAAATGTCATTTGTTAATCTGCTCGTTGAAAACTGGCGAGATACATATCAAGAAGTCAGTGGTTGTTATGTCTGGATGGTGGAGTTACAGGTGACTTTATTGTCTTATTTTTGCTTATTTGTACTTTCTAAACTTTCTGTCTTACTTTTTTAATAAGAGGAAACAAACTCCTGTCGAGGATCTGCAGGGTGAAGTGGACTAGAGATGAGTGGGTACAAAGTGAAGACATGACCGCTGTCCTTAGGAGTTTAAAGTCTATGGAAGGAGACAAAACAGATAGGTTAATGATGTAAGAGGGATGGGCAGTAATGCTCAGGGTGGGCTGGGGATGGAAGCAGTCCCCCCTCAAGTGGCACCTGGCATTACAGAAATGCCATCAGGTTTTCCCCAGCAGTCTTTGTGTATGGTCTTCACTGACCTGGAAATAGGAAAGATGACACACATAGCCAGATAAAAGAGCCACTCCTTTAATCTATCCCAGCACCCCAGGCGGACAGGGATGGGATCGCTGAGACTCCTTTCTAAGGTACCTATTTCTAGGAGAGAGCTTACGTTGAAGCAAACGTTGAGACTCTTTATGTAACACCTCTTACAAATGACAGGTATGAGCCCAGGTTGCGAAGCAGCACGTCAAACGGAATGAAGAAGGAATTTCCTGTTTTTCTCTCTCTCCACAGCATTATTAACACCATCATTATTCTGGCTGGAGCAATTGCGCTTATCATCGGTTTTGGTATCTCAGGTATGTGATTTATTGCATTATCATTGATCCATTCACCCCTCGTCACTAAGTCCCTAATCATTCAGTGTGGTAGAATGGCAAGAGCACAGATCTTGGACCAAGAAAACGTCAGAGTGGAGAACTGTTTTTTCCACTTATTGACTGTGTTCTCTGCACTTTATTCATTCAACTCCCTGGACCTCAGTTTCCTCATGTATGGTGTGGAGGAAATGTCTACCTCACCAGATGGCTGAGAGAATCAAATGGAACGTCTACCAGAGTGTTCTGTCTACCAGATAGTGCTGGAGATATCACTCTGGGATCACAGGTGAAGTGCTGTGGCTGAGCCATTCTCTCAATGGCTGGCCTGAGTAGATGATTCCTTTGCAATGAAGCTTCAGCTGAAGTGTTAAAGAATATCAAGTCTTTGTACACAGGGTTCTTAACGAGGATCCTTATCCTGGTCATAAGTGCCATTCCATGTAGGGAACAGAAGCCATTGCGGCATGGATGGCGAGTGTCTGAATGCAGCTGACTGATGTCAGCTGCAGGAATCGTCTTCTCTTCTGTGGACACCATGTCTCGGAAGCATCTATTATGGATGCCAGATTAATTAAGACATTGAATGAGCTAGACCAGCAGCTGTCCTCTCTGAAGCAAGTCGTTTGCTTCATTTCCCTTAAAGTGCCTGACTCAGGACGACACATTTATTTTAACTCAGCCTGTGGCCAAAGCTGTTGCTTCATAACTTGAGTTTTTAGAGTTCCAGCTGTCTCCTCTGTGTCACTCCCCTCCAGTGTGTGTGCTGCCACTAAATAGTAGTCACAAGGCCTAAATGAAGAAAACGCGTTGTAGATCTGTTTCCCTAGAAGAGACATAAGCATCTTTCTCCATTTTCTTTTATCAACAAAAATGTGTATTTTTTGTCTTTCATCCATCTTTCTATTGGGTTATCTTTTTCTTTTTTGATATGTGGGAACTCTTTATATTTTCTGGGTGCAATTTGGTTATGTGTATTGAAAAATCTCCTCTACTCTGTGGCTTGGTTTTTCCTCTTCTTAATGACGGCTCTCAATGAGCAAAGTTCCTAATTTTAACATAGTCCAATTTATCAATCTCTTCCTTTATACCAGGAGTTTTTTTGTAACCAGTTTGTTTAAGAAGTCTGCCTATCCCAAGGTCATAAACATTTTCTTCTAGGTTATCTTGCAGAAGCTTTAGTGTTTAACCTCTCACATTTATATCTACAACTACCTAGAATGATTTTGTGCATGGGCAAAGGTAGTGGCAAGATTGGTCAAAATACTATCCTTCCCCCACTTCTCACTAGCGCCATTTTTGTCATAAATCAAGTATCCAAATGCGTATGGATCTGCTTCTGAGCTCACTAGCCTGTTTCATTCTAGTATTCTTTTATAATTTGTTTTCTCTTTATTTCATCTCTTCCTGTTCCTAATCTTGGGTGCTCTCTCTCTCATATCTTTTTTTTTTTTTTTTCTCTCATATCTTAAAATAGGTTTACAGGTGTTAATTAGCTTTATAGTAGTTTTGAAGGACCCAGGTCTTGGTTTTCTTTTTACTTTCTCTGATTTTCTTATTTAATTAATTTTGGCTTTTATCTTTATTAATGTCCCTCTTTCCATTTTGTTTTGCTGTCTTTTCTTTCTTTTTTTAAAATATTTATTTATTTATTCAGGCCGCACCGGGTCTTAGCTGCGGCACTCGGGATCCTTGTTGCGGCATGTTTAGCTGCGGCATGCAGCATCTTTAGTTGCAGTATGCGGACTTCTTAGTTGCGGCATGCATATGGGATCTAGTCCCCTGACCAGGGATCGGACCTGGGTCCCCTGCATTGGGAGCACGGAGTCTTACCACTGGACCACCAGCAAAGTCTCTTAATTCTTTTTTTTTTTTTTAAGTGATGATCCATTTAAATTCTTTTTCATTAAAAAAAAAATTTTTATTGAAGTATAGTTGATTTACAATGTTGCGCTAATTTCTGCTTTATAGCAAAGTGACTCTGCTATACCCATATATACATTCTTTTTTTTTTTAATATTCTTTTCCATTATGGCTTAAACCAGAAGACTGGACAGAGTTTCCTGTGCTGTACAGTAGGACCTAGTTGTTGCTGTCTTTTAATTCTTTTTCTAATATCTTGAAATAAGCACTTCACAAAACAGTACGTCCAGAAAGCCAATAAACAGCCCTTAGTAGATACCGCCATTTAGTTTTCCAAAGTGATTTACCAAGTCCCTTTTCACAGGAAACGTATGAGGGACCCAGTGCTCCACGCCCTCACCGGCACTAGATCTTGTGGGACGCTGTTGTGATTTTAACTTCTAAATATTTCCTGGTGACTGACAGACTGAGTGCGTTTTCATATGAGAAGCATAATGCTGAGCGACAGAGCCAGACACAAGACAGTACATTCTGTATAAAAACCAGGCAGATGAACCTCTGCTATTAGAAGGCAGAATAATGATTATTCTCCTGGGAAGAGTGAGAGAGCAGCCATTAGGAGGGGGCACGAGGGGACTTCTGGGGGATAGTAAAGTTCTAGTTCTCAGTGTGGGCGCTGGGTACATGGGGAGACGTCGTGATAATTCTTCAAACTGCACAATTATGTGTACACTTTAGGTATGTATGTTATACTTCTGTATCTTCTACAATATATATATAGAAATAAAATATAAAAATATCTTATTGATATTTTAAAGATATCAATACATACATTTTGGTAGCTTCCTCACTAATCCTTAATTCCTCTTCTTTAGTTATAACTTCAGCTTCCCTGTGACAGTCAACATTTTGCTACTTATACCTTTTCCTGTGGCATAGCTACAGCGACCTCAGGTACTGAGCTCAGTTCCTTGAATACAGAGGGTACTCCTTAAGTGTTTTTTTTTTTTTTTTTTTTTTCGGGTACGCGCGCCTCTACTTTT